TAATTGGTTAATGGAAACAACCAGTTTTTTACCAATTTGACCAAAATATGAACAAAAATATTTTATTTGAAATAATACACCAACTGTATTCTGCTGGCTTTACTGTAGTAGCAATAACGAGCGACATGGGCTCAGGTAACATGAGTTTGTGGTCAGAGCTAAATATTGGCTATCAAAAAGATTGCTATTTTAAACACCCAAGTAACGATTTATTACAGATATTTGTATTTGCAGATATACCTCATTTATTGAAACTTTTAAGAAATCACTTTTTAGACCAAGGTTTTATATATAAAAATAAAATAATAAAGAATGTGTGGACACACAGCTGTCTGGATCTGCTTCTGAATTAACAATAGCATTTAAAATTAATTCATACCATTTAAATTTGAAAGGCACTGAACGTCAAAAAGTACAGCCAGCAGCTCAGTTATTTTCCAATCAAGTTGCAAAGTCTATAGAGTGGTGTGGTAAGAAAGGATTTATGGAAAATAAAAATTGGAAAGAAACAGCTGAACTAATCAAACTTACAAATGATTGGTTTGATCTGTTTAATTCCAGAAGTAAATTTGGGGATCACTTTGGGACAAATGCTTTTGGTGTAAATTTAGATAGTCAAATTGAATTATTACAAAATTTCAGTGATATGATCGAATCTATTAGAGTGGGTACACACAAGGGGTTGATTCAATTTCAAAAGGGGATTTTATTAAGTAATATTTCCTTATTAAATCTTTTTTACTACCTTAAAGATAAATATTCAGTTGAATATATATTAACATACCGTCTTAATCAAGACATTTTAGAGAATTTTTTTTCCTATATAAGAGGGATGGGAGGACGAGATGATCATCCATCTCCACTCGAATTTAAACATAGGTTGAGATGGTATATTTTAGGAAAGCATTCAGCCTCTGTTTTTAGTATAAATAGAAACTCAAAGGAAAATGTGCATGAACAATGTCTGGTAACACCTATGGAAACAGAAAACTTGAAAATTTCTGATAGTGACATTTGCTTATCTCATTCTGCTTTTAAACATTTTGCCAAAGATATTTCTGAACAGATTGAAGATGAACCAAATGATATTGCACCATATACATTTATAGAACATGATGATCTAATAAACATTGAACTTAATACAACTTATTTTGAAATATCAGATGAACATCAAAATTTATTGGACCAATTTGAACAATTTAATCATGATAATTTTGTAGAAACTCTCACTTTTGAAGGCTTGAAATACATTGCCGGTTACGTTGCCTATCGATTTAAACATAAATATGATCACTTAGGAATGCCAACTAAAGAATTACCAACTCATGAATTGCCTGATTGGATTCAATTTATTTCAAGAGGACAACTTTTAGTCCCCAGTGAAACCTTAATATCAGCTGCCAAAATTATGGAAATAGAATTTCAAAACCTTCATGGCAATTGGCTTTCTAATGCTAAGCTTCTTTTTGACCTTTTAACTGACAGAACAATTGCCAATTTACCAGAAAATGCACATATTCCTTACGAAGTTTTACACTGTTTAGCTCGTACACGAACATACATAAGATTGAGGGATTTAAATAAAAAAAATCAGCTTTAATAATTGCCAACGAAAACTTAAGAGAAAAATGTCAAAATTTGTTAATAGAAAAATTTAAGTTGCCTATGAAAGTATTTCAATATTTATTTTATAAAAGACAAAATCATACTCAAAATATGTGCTGCATACATTTAATACTAAAAAAATATTCATTGGCAACCGGTTTCATCCAAAGGATCATTGTTAAGCCTAGAATGAAAACTTAAAGTAACTGTTATTTTTTAAAGTATTGAATAAATCAATAAAAACTTTTAATACAAAGTTCTCAAAATATAAAGGGGTTTTAAATATTATTTTTGCAGTTTAGGATACTAGGTATAATTGCATATAATTTTTTATGTAAAAAGTAATTTTAAAATTTTTATATTTTTTAGAAAAAGTACCATATACTGTGTTTTGTCCAAATTTTAATATTGGAAAATAACACTTGCTAGAATTTCAAAAATAATAGGGTAGAGACTGTGTTTGGGAAAAATATCTGTTACTATAAGAGATAATGTTATTCTGGAAAGCCCAGAAGACAATAAACACAGGATATACTTGGGATAAAAAATGCATTTTTGATAATAATGTTAGATACTGTGTTTTGAAATGTGGCAGCCATGTTAATGTGTAATTTTTATAGTGTCTACTTTACCTTTAACGGTACCGTGACTTTGTACCCACTATTTTGATTATCCCTTAATGAAGGTTTTTAATATATTATTTAGCTTTAAGTTTTTATTCTAGGCCTGATGATGATCCTTGGGACGAAACAGGTTACTAATTTATCATTTTTAGGATTAAATTTATGTGGGACAGATATTGAGTATTATTTTGACTTTTATGAAGATGAACAAATTTGAGCAGTTGAATACCCTCCACGATTTATTTAATTTTTTTTAGTTTTTTAGGTCCTGCTGTTCTACTCAAAACAACTCTCAATGTAATTCAAGAGAGGTCCGGCCCTCTAAGTCTCTTTACACTATCAGACGCTGACTAATCCATTCGTTTTAATAAAAAAAAAACAAAAAAAAAACAAAAAAAAAAAAACAAATAAAACGGGGCTTGCCCCACCAAAAATATCAACAGTAGTATTAGTTGTTTATTGATTGCATCAGCAAAAATTAGTAGTTCCCATGTTTCAGGTACCTTGTGAAATCTACGGGCTATATCCCTGATTACACTTATTTAGTTGAGGGTCCCCGCGGAAGAGCGGTGATGCAGGCAAGTAGTTGCCGCATCGTGGGGGGAGGATGGATGTTCGGCGTGTAGTTCCTTCTTTCTCAAGAAGAGACTGCACCTCGTGGGTAGAGGGAGGCTCATCAAGGTCTCTATTGGACTAGATGTGTACCCGCAGGAGTGTAACGGAAAAATCCGGTACTCCTAGAACTCCACGGGCCAAAGAAATATACATTATAAAGTATTAATCAAGATAAAGAAGTAAACATTATGTATCAACCATTTATAAACATTATTAAACATAAATAAAATCAATTTAAAATAACACCTCTGTTCGTTTTATTAAAATAAAGCATGTTTTGTCAAGTGTTTCTGTTTATTAAATACATAAAGGGGTTTACCAGCACCCAACCATACAAGTTATTGATGGCAATAATTGATGACTAATTTAAATTAAATTTTTACATTTATAATCTATGAAAGTAACTACATACTTTCATACTGATTATTTAAGAAAATCAGCGACTAAAAGAATATACTGTTAATAATTCATTTCACCTTAATTTTATTGTTCAGCATTTGTTAACATTATACACAAGTTTATTTGAGTTGATTCAAAATTCTTTATTGTTGAATTACATTCTTATTAACAAAGGTAGATAACAAGTTAAAATTCAAAGGAAAAGAAAGAAATAAATAAAAGTTTGTTTTAAATTTTTTAAAAATTCTAATATCGAGACAAAATATAATATAAAAACAAAAATACATTTGCACAACACTAAGTACAAATATGACAATCGGGAAATATATATACGATATACACATAAATTAAAATGAACTACTTAATTCAAGGGATCACAGAAAAATTCATACACTTTGTAGTATGCCTTTTCGAGCAAGAGTTTCTTAACTTGCTTTTTAAACATTTTTAATGAGTCGGCACTTCTTATTATTAATTAATTGGCAGATGGTTAAACATTTTTCGCTATACACAATACAAGGTACACCACATATTTCAGTTTCACATTTAAATTAGTTATTTGTATACCTATGCCTTTTATTAGTTCTAGTTTTTATCCCAACTGAGCCACTAAAACTTTTTAATGGTGATGTCTATGTAAGTAGGTACGTTTTGGCTATCATCTTGATCTCAATCTATCAGATAGCGATGCTAGGCATGAAGATTTAAATCCTAGATGAAACATCCTCTTCAAGTTTTGTAATGGAAAAATTTAATTTCAGATGAACACTATCTTTTTTTATGCCAAAGAGAAACTATATTAAGCTAAATTCCTTACACCATGGCTAAATTCGAAATAAATTACCTACTTTTTTTGTATAAAAACACAAAATATTTTTATTTGGCATTACTTTTGCTCTAGCGTCTATCTGCCTATAGTGACTTTCTTGTATTATTGAGCATAAATGATGTTATTTGACCAGCTGTTATTTTCTTCTAAATATATTTTCAGTTTTATAATGATTATAGAACTAGGAAATAAAAATGCAACGTTTTGACAATCATTAAAAAATGTAAACAAAGCCATAGAATGGCATGGCAGTGTATAGGCGGCCGTGGAAATACCGATGTTGACGTCATAAAACCTGCGCACCGCTTCACCTGTATCCTTACACCATGAATTCAACTAGTTTATTCTCTTCAACAGGCTAGATGTACCTGGAAATGTAACCAACAGTTCAAGGGCAAACCCAGAAGAAAAGTTGAGAGAAATCATAGATGATGCTCTCGAGTATAATAGAATATCTTGCTAAAAAACACGAGTTGTTTTTTATAAAATCTGCATATCAATGGCTCAATCAAATACTGCTACAATTAAAATACTATTGTTTCGAGAAATTTCATCTTAAAATTTTGTAAGTTTCTATTATTATTTTGTTTTTGACATATAGTCTTTATATTTTATTTAAAAGCTTTGATATTTTGCTGTTAAAATTAACGATTATGATTATAATAGCGAGTTGTTGCATAGTTTGTAAAAAATTTGGGTGTTTTTGCAGAAAATGACTCGAATTGAAGCAGTTTTAGACCCAGTTTGTGGCTAGATTTTAAATAATTTATCTTTAAGGATATTTTTGTTTGTGGAGGTATTTAAAGTAAAACCTTAATGATATTTTGCATCCATTGAACCAAAAATGTAATTTTCTTTGTTTTTTGACTTGTGGCGGTTTTTGATTGAGCCATCGATATAATCTACCTTAGAAATCAAGCATAAAATTTGTAAAATTCAAACAAATTTCAATACACTGACATACCTAATAATATACCAATAAACTTGGAGTGATTATAGAGCAAATAAAACAACCAACCATTTAGCAACAGATATTTATTTTATTGCTTAAAGTTTATCTCTTTTTAAATTAATACATCGTTTTCTATTTAATAATTTATAAACAAATAGTTTTAACAAAAGTGTAGGCAATGTTTAAAACAATTAGATACCAAATATTCGACGGAACAAGCGTTTAGGACGAAAATGTGATGAGAATAAGAAAGAAGATATTACAAAATACAAAGTCAAAATAATAAAATAAAAAATCCAAAATTAAATCATTCAATAATATAAGATAGAGCATCTGTTTGCCACAAAAGTATTTGTATAAAATAATTAGGCATTCCGAAGTCCTGTTCAAATGGTTGCTTGATGATACAAACGTTTGTTTCCTAATGATATTGTTTTTGTACATAACTAGTTCAAATAACGGTACTTTTGTGCTTTAAAGGTAAATTTTGATCAAAACCTGTTGTGATTTTACTAATAGTTATATTCTTAGTAACATGTAAAAACCAGGTTGTGTGTCATCTTTATCCGGCAACCATTTTAAGTGTCAGAAAGTCACGTGGTTTGAAATGCCTAAATGCCTTGATAATGCATTCATTCATTCATTATAGTCGTTGTCTGACTTCAAGGTTTTTCTCAAATTTGGCATCTCCCAGTTGAATCATAATAATAGAATTAGTGGTGATACCGCTTATCATACTCAAAATGCTAGGTCTTCTAATTTCAAAAAAATCAGCTGCCGATATAATAGGTTTAAAATGTTTCAACTTTGCAATGAATCTTTTCAGTTCCACACTTAGAAGACTCATTTTTAAGGTTTGTGATTGGTAGTGGTGAGCTGAGTACAGAAGTTTTTCACACTCAACCATTAATGAGTCTGAAGAGACTATAATCGCAAGACCATAGTTCTGAAATTTAAGAAAATAAAATGGTATTATAGGAATAAATATTTGACAAAAAAAAATAAACATGCTGCTAAAATTCCTGCCAAATCTACTATTAATCCACCATTTTGCCATGAGTGTCTTCGAAGTGTCAAGTGTCAACTGTTTTATATTAATCTTCTGCAATGAGGTTGAATATCCAGTCTTATTTAATTTAGGAGTCATAAAATAAAAGTAATAAAGGAATTAAAATATATTTTTGAATGGAAGGAACAAGACGTTGTTTAAAATTAAAAGTCACAATGAAGTACATACAAACAATAATAATCTTGGCAATCGAAGTTGCTAAGGAAATGAGTTTAACCTTTATCATAGGGTTGCCCAAAGGGTCACAAGTGTGTGATGCATGTGGCATGCTAAGGTAAGAAGTAAAGAAGCACAGCACATCTCCAATATGTAATGCCTCTGAGTCACTACAACACTATACAATTAAACGACGTTCAAATATTATCCCGGTTTCGGCGAAGATCGTCTTAGCTAAGACCGGTTTATAAATAGTGACCTATACGTTTCAGCTAAAGCTCTTGGGCTGTAATCAGATTATTAATGCCAAAAGTTATGTATCATCAAATTGATATTAAAATATTCTCGAGATCCTGATTAAAAAAAAAATAAATAACTTCAGCACAAATTTTTGATTTTTCACATGATCTGGGGAAATTTGTAGATGTGGCAATGCCGCAATACATGGAGTATTTTTACATTTCCCCAGACATCGAGCGATTTTGTAGTAAGAAAAGCCACAAAAAGAGGCAACGTCGCATTTTGGTACGACGCTTCGATCGAGAGATCCCTTAGGCAAATAAGAGCAACATCAAGATGGCAGATGGACGGGGAGGGGGCGGGAGAAAGCATAAGGACCTAAGCCACATACTTCGATTTTCTCTCACTATACGGAGAATGGTCGCACTGCGCAGCTTTTGAGTGCCTTTTAAAAGGAGATAGAAAACTCCGCCATTTTGAACACTTATTACGTGTTGCCTACATCTTGGTGTATTAGTTTTAGTGGTTAAGTTATAATATGTACCCAAAGTCATTCCCCAAAGATATTACTTACGAACCTACACTTTACAAAAACATTAACAAATAATGAATATCTTGAAAACCTTGCTCTACTGGGTGATTTTATGTTAAATCTTTTCATTTGTAAGTAATAGTAACTACTTTAATTATATTTTTATTGTTGTATTTTAAATGCATTTTATTTTTTAGGTCTCCTAGGAATTTCGAGCATTTAACTTGAACAGTGTTTACAAACCATTAATCAATTGTTTAGAAATTATTTTTAGCTAAACTCTGTTATGTCTGTTCTCAGCATTTTGAGGAAAATGCAATTCTTTGTAGAAGGCAAATACCAAGAAAATTGAAGCATTTACTTCAATAGATAGTAGTATTAAAATCAAACGAAATAATATAAATAAACATGTAATTAATATTGTTTACTTTTTGGACCATTTATATTATAATAATTGTTTTTATTTATTTTAGATTTACCACCTCTGGCTCATCTTCACACCTCAAAGTAGAGGTAGTCCACAGCATCACTAAGAAAATAGCCCCTTCTGCTAAATAATTTATCTGCAACAGGAAAATTACCTGTAATATTGAATTTTCTTATTTGGTACAGTAAACTGTGTAACAATTTCGGATAAATGGAAATTTCTAAGAAGCAAAAGTACCACTGATCCAGGTATATTGATTTTGTTCGTTAGACATACACAGGAATCATAAAAGTAACAAAAACGTCATTTAGAGCCACCATATGTCGACATCCTTTTTTAAATATTAAGCATAGCTATAGAAGCCGAAAGTAGGGAGATATGCAAAAGTTTTAAAAATATACACTGGCAATTTAATGTCAATAAAATTAACAAACGCGTAATCTTTGGAAACCATAATATTGGTGGAGGTGGTGGCAGTAATACCCATAGGAGTATTTACTTGAATAGAAAATATTCAGCAATTTCTTACTGTGTAAAAACTGAAAGAAGACTCATTTGTAGATGAACAATACATATGTTTTAGTTTGCATATAACTAATTAAAAAAAAAACTATTATACAAATTCAACGTGTGTGTCTCAGATAAATTATAATTGTTTTATTTTATAGTTTCGCATCACATTTACATGCAAAATATAATATTAGATTGTTTAGCCTCAAAGATTTTTATTACATTACAAAAATAAAATGTTTGTTCATGGGCATAGGACTGGCAAAAAATATCATAATATTAAGGTAAAATCATATGCACAGCTTTAGAAATAATTTAAAACCACTCACCTCTATTTCAAGATGCACTCGCAATTATAACTACTTCAAAGAAGATTTTTGTATAGTATTTAAAATAAATAAACGTTTCTTCTACATTTGTTGCTTTCATTTAAAATACCAAGATGTAGGCTACCAGTTTGACATTTTGGAAAAATACCTAGTAGTAATTGCATCAAAATGGCCGCGCCCTATGTTGGGAGTGTCGGATGTCTCTCTTGCTCCGTATAGTACTCAACATATGTGACCTAAGCCGATTTGCACCACCTGTCACAGCAAGGAATTCGTCAAGCATTTTCCTAAGGACGGATAAGGTCATAGAAATGGACAACAATGTATAACTTATCATCGAGGTAAGTGTTGTCAACTGTCAATTATCAAAATGATACGAAGGAAGGTTGAGACAGATAGACATAAACGGTATGTCAAAAGGACAAAGTCAATAATAACTTTAGAGAATAATTTAACAAAACCTCTCATGACAAGAGACGATCACGTTACAAAGTCATTAACAACTTTTTCTACGTTCATGCAAAAAACAAAACTTTATTAAACTATATTCAGTGAAAAAACTGGTTCTCTATTGCACTAGTGTAACAAAAATTTTATTGCACTCATCTGTCATTTTACTACAGCGTTTTATGATCATGACAAACATAAACATTCAAATCAATGCCAAATATTTAGTCCATTTTCATTTTCTGTGTTACGTTTTAAAAACAATTGCATATTTTATATTATTTTCAATCATTTAATAAATAAATTAATAAAAAAATGTGTTTTATTAAAAATGTCATTACAAATTATGAACACAAACATAAATAAATGGATAATACATTGGATAATACAACTGCAGTTCTATAAAACATTTTTTGGTTTTTGCATGAACGTAGAAAAAATATTGTATGCAACCCGTGCAATAAATACTTACTTTTTGCACTTGTTGCATAAATAACTATTAAAGTATCTGGGTAGGTATGCGTTTAGTATTAGCTATTGCAGAATAATTTAACATGACAAGAGACATTCGGGGGTACTGATTGAATAACAGCCTCGTTACCAAACAAATTGCAAAAGCTAGAAAAACATAGTACTCACATAATTATTTAATGTATCCAAATAAAAATCACTTAACACAATACATCTTCATATTTTTGAACATTGTATCAGGTGTTGAGATGATGATAAGAACAATATATAATTGCAAGTACACAACTATTGGACCGATATAATATAATGAAACGATTGTAAACATATTTATAAAAATAGTTGCTATACAGACTGTCCTAAAATTAGAAAAAGTACATGAGATAATAAACAGCATAAAAATGAGCAATTAGTTAAAATAAGTTCATCTGAGCCTGAATAGAAAGTTGTTGAACTGTAGTATGGATGCAAAGAGATAAAACGTCAACAAAACAAGCACGCAAATACCTTTGAAACCAAAAAGAAAATGAACAAGAAATACAACATTTAGCCAAATACGATCAAATCAAATAAAACTTTTAATTATTAAAAACAAAAAAGTTAATATAGGTAATCAAAGCGCTAAAATAGGTAAAATAATTTACTCTTGCCAAGAATAACTATCAAAGAAACATAGATAAAAACATAAAAAATAATATAGGTAATCAAAGCGTTAATAAAATAAGTTAAACTCTTTTATTTTACTATTGGCAAGAGTAACTATCAATGAGACATAGCCAAATACGATCAAAGCAGAGTATTAATATTATTTCTTGCGGTTACATATCCTGTAAAAATTCAACACATTGTTAAGCTAAGTTGCTTAATATCTATGCCGTATTATAAGACAAAAATATATACAGGACAATCTCTAAAAGTATAATTACATATAACAGTTATTAAAAGCATGAAAAATAAGCGCATTTCGAAAACAGGATCCTGCAACATAATAAAAATTATAGTAAAACATAAATAACAACGCGTCGTCTCATATCATACAATAAATGGACTTATGACCAATGTGTAAGTTTTCATTCAACAAATCTATTACTATTTAGACGACTAATTCTAATGTAAGATTTCCTTAAACAAAAAAAATAATTTTCTCCACCCTGCAACTGTTATTTAAGTGAACTTATTTTTGTTCAAAACTAACTACATTTGAATTTTGGTCCATTCCTGCTGAACATCCATATACGTACGAATATGTACACACCGATCTCAATTAAGAACAGAGGGTAGCAACTCATATCGAAAAAAATGAGAAAGGTAAGGTGGCTTGAAGATGCAAGATTAAGAATTAAGATTGTTGTTAAAGTTTATTTTCATATTAATTCACCTGGGTACATGAAATATTTTCACTACCTTCCAAATATAATAATCTTTTCAAAAGATGGGTTTCATCGACGAACAATAAAGATCTTAGAAATATAAAAATAAAGATCTCAGAAATATTGGTATTGATGCAATTTATACATAATATTAAACAAGCGCCTAAATAACATGCAGTTCTCACACTGTTTTGCGCCAATAGTAAGTAATATTTACAAAATTGTTTTTTATTCAGTATTAAAATATATTGGTTTATTTTAATTTATTTTTGTTTTTCGTTTTTAATGTAAAGAAAATGACTCCTAAAATACCCTGTCCATCGTTGTCCTATTCATGGCTTATTCTAAGCTTTATAAACCAATATAAGCCATTAATAAGACGTCTTAAAGACGTCTTTCAGGAAATACCAGAAGTCTTAAAGACGTCTGACATGTCTTATGCAAGACCTCTTAAAGACGACTTTGTGCTATCTGGGCTACATGGTTTCTATATGACATTTGACTGAAGTTGGTACATGTAAAAACTGACTCTGTGTAATATGAAGTTCAGTAGATTTTTACATCGAAATTATAATTTAAATTTCATAATAAATCCTTAAATTTAAACATAATAGTTCCTAGACCCAATTGCCACAATAGAATTCATTATCTCACCTCTCATCACTTCACTCCAATTTCAAGCTTCGATACGATAACATGTTTTGGAATCGGATCGTTAAAAAACACCGACCAACATTTGAACAACGCCCAGCACCTAGATACTGACTTTCCGGATATGGACCCCCTCTTTGGATGTAACCGTCAGCGTTACTGAGCTGGGTAAGTCATCTCAAACGAGTTTGGCGAGTAGTGATAGAGTTCCGTGCAGTTCCAAAAATCAAAATTCGCAAGTTGTGCAGACCTCAGAGAAACATTTAGAAAAGGCTACCGTCCAAAGTATCTCTTCTGACCCAGGATTATGGCCCGAAATCATGCGTGCAGCAGATAGAGTTTTTTTGGTTAAACGTGGTCCAGCTGCACCTTTGTATAATTTTGATTTTCTTTTTGATGATCAGCAAGAAGATTTTCACCAAAACATTACAAGAAAAGGCTTAGAAATGGAGAAGAGGTTTTAAGAGAATGGATGGTATATTCCGTATTTTAAAACGTTTTGTACTGTTTTCCATATCGACTTTTTGCTGCACCATCTAGCTTGAGCGCTCTTAGCAATCGGGGATTTAAAGACTGGAAGCATTTAGGTGATTCTTTAGCACATCATGAAAATGCTAAAACTCATATAGATTGTTTGAAATCATGGCTTGAACTGAAGCAAAAATTGAAAATGGGTGAAACAATAGATGCAGTTACTCAGAGACTCATTGATTCTGAGATAAATCATTGGTCTGAAGTTCTTTTACGCATTATATCAATCGTTAAAATGCTAGGTGAGAGCTTTCTAGCTTTTCGAGGAACAAGCGATAAACTGTATGAACATAATAATGGAAACTTTTTGAAGTTAATTCAGTTATTGGCTGAGTTTGATCCAAAAATAGAGGAACACGTCCTTAATAAAGAAGAAATCAAAGCTACATATATAGGGAAAACTATACAAAATGAAATAATTGAATTATTGCATGACAACATAAAGCACCACATCATCGAGCAAGTTCAAAAGGCTAAGTATTATTCCGTGATTCTTGACTGTACTCCCGATGCAAGTAAAGTAGATCGGATGACATTTGTGGTAAGATTTGTCTCCATACAGGAATCAGAGTCTGAAGTTCAAGGTAATATCAACGAACGTTTTTTGGGTTTTCTACCCATTGAGAGATCCACAGCTAAGGAATTGTCGGAGCTTTTACTAGAAGAGCTAGAGAAAAATAGGCTTAAAGTAGAAAACATGCGCGGTCAAGGGTATGACAATGGTTCCAATATGAGAGGAGAAAAATCGGGAGTACAAACAAGGATCAGAAATATAAACCCCAGAGCATTTTATGTTCCATGCAGCAGCCATACGCTAAATTTGGTTGTAAACGATATGGCAAAATCCTCGTTTGAGGCAGCCAACTTCTTCATTATTGTTTAAAAGTTATATACATTTTTTCTTCGTCTTCTTTTCGTTGGGCAATATTACTGAAATATATTGATACTTACACCCTAAAACCATTGAGTCATACGCGATGGGAAAGTCGAGTCGACTCATTAAAAGCTCTGCGGTTTCAAATTGGTCCAATTCACGATGCTTTGTACAGCATATATGAAGATTCAGAAATCGATAATATGATCAGAGACGAGGCTAGTGGATTATTAAACAATTTGAAGCAGTTCAAATTTATATGCTCTGTTGTGATTTAGTACAAAATTTTGAATCATATTAACCCCATCAGTAAACTTTTGCAAACTGTAAATTTTAATATGTCACAAGCTATTGATATGCTTAGCAACGGCAAACTCTTTTTTGAAAACCTGAGATCAAATAAAGTTTTTAAAAGCATCATTTTAGAAGCAACTGAGCTTGCTTCAGAGATTGACGTGGAAGCTAATTTCGGAACCACCACCCCACGTCATCGTGTCAGAAGCAAAACAAGAACGTTTCTGTATGAGGGCCCGGATGAACTCGTTCAAGACCTCAAACAAAAATATAAAATAGATTTTTTTTTCACACTATAGATCAAGCAATAATTGCCAGATATAATTTACTTAATACTCACAGTAATTATTTCAGCTTTTTGTATAATATTTTTGGTATAAAAGACATGCCCAGAAATGAGCTACTGGCTCATTGCAAAGATTTGGAAGTAGTTTTAACTGATGGAAATTCAAGCGATCTTAACGCCCTGGAACTAGGCGATGAAATAAGCATTGTTTCGTCATTATTAACAAAAAAGTAAACCCCTGTTGAAGTTCTCAAGTTTATCGCTACACTTAAATTCGCACCAAACCTCAGCATAGCATTAAGAATCCTACTTACATTGCCAGTCACTGTGGCTTCAGGGGAAAGAAGCTTTTCAAAACTAAAAATAATAAAAAATTATCTCAGAACGATATAGACGCAAAATCGTCTCAATGGATTGGCAATGATAGCTATAGAACACCAAATTATTGACAAATTAGACTTGAAATCAGTGGTTCGTGAGTTTGCCGAAAGAAAAGTTATAAAAAGGACATTTTAATTAATTACTTTGGTTAGTTCGAATTTATTTATAATATCGGATATTAGTTTAGTTAGCATTATTACATTTTAATTTTTGTTATTTTGCCTTAAGTGCTAAATTGCTTATCTTGTTATCTGATGATTGAGTTTTTTTTTTATTTTTTTTAATATTTTATTGACTTTCTGATATGGTCGCATGAGATTTACTTAAAAAAACGGCTGGAGGGGGAAGGGGCGCAAAATTAAGGTTTTGCCCGGAGCACCAAAATGTCTAAGGCCGTCCCTGGTTGTATAGGTACGTTTTGGCGAGGTGATAGTATGATGGCAACATGGCAATGTAAGCAGAGTGTGAATAATATATAATTTGCTAACAATCCACTATTTAGATACAATTTTATAATTAATTTTGTTTCAGCTAATTTATACTTACAATAAATGATGCGACCCACATTGCTTGCCCTAGATTTAGCTGTTTGTAGAATGCCAAGATGATAATAAGTACTCCTGCTAACACGTTCATTAATCTACCGCCGTAGAGAAAATTATATTCTTGTATCATGTCGCTGAAGAGCAGAATCTTTTGTCCGAATTTTCTGATTTTCGCAGCCATCAGATAATCGTCCAATTCATTGTTCGAGTTGAAAGTATTCTTGTCAGAAAGTTGCTTCATATAAAAAGAACAACAATTTTTTTCAACAAATGTACATTTAGGCTTGTGAACGCCACTACTTAATAAGTAAAGGTATGTATTTATTTATAATCCACGTAAATTTATCTTTTATACGGCTCCTATGTTTCTTTTGTTCCAATCATAATCTGGCCTGCCGTCCCTGTATCAGGCTGGCTAAGAGTTGTAGGGTCCCCAATTCGGGCTATTAGATCGAGCAACGTCGTTTACGCTCGTAAGTCTCAGGTATTGCATTTTTATATGAAAGAGTGTTATAAAAATTTCAACCTTGTTCCATTATAGTGTTCAGAATGTAGACAGCAAGTCTATTTATTTTGACATTTTTGACAAATTTGACAAAAAAGTGGTAGAACCCACATACTTTGATTACTATACAGTGCAAGAGAGAGGTCCGACACGCCCAACATAGGGCACGGCACATACTTTGATTTTCTTTTACTATAGGGAGAATGGTCGCATTGCGCAGCTTTCTGAGTGCCTTTTAAAAGGAGATAGAAAACTCCGCCATTTTGATCCCTTATTACGTGCTGCCTACATCTTGGCGCAATATTTTTAATAGGTGCGTTTTAATCATCCGCTTCTGCTTCGGAATAGTCGGTTTTCTTGTTTTAATCTGACAGGTTAAAACGACTAAACCGACAATTCCGGAAGAAGAAGCGGATGATTAAAACGCACCTGATATTTTGCTTGCTGCTGTTAGTGTCAGTGAATATTATTTTTGGAGTCACAGTTTATTGTTAAAGAATCAGTTCCAAAATAACATCCATTCCAGGGATACAAATTCAGGATACGCTGAAGACTGCTGTTTTATTATAGGCGGTTGTCATATATTGTATTATCCGAGTTGCGCAGTGTATAAACTGGAACATTGAGATCAAAAGTGCCGACGCAGAGTGAGCGATCTGATTCTTTAGCTATAAACTGTGGCATAGGAATCAAAATGGTCGCGCCCTATGTTGGGCGTGTCGAATTTCTCTCTTGTACCGTATAGTAATCAAAGTATGTGGGTATTACTAACAAAATATATTGAACGGAATGTCAGATTATGATTGGATTATTAAAGTGATTTTAATTTCATATCTCTAGTACCTTTCAAAAGTAATCTCTTGTAGCTTCGAGCCGCCACTGTTTTATTTGAAGCATGAGAGATGACAGCTACAAGGTAGGGAGACATTAGAATATATATAGTCAGGAAGGAGGAATCCTAAACGACCTTGGAATCGCGATGGTATCTAATTTTGACAGTGAACTAGACGAATATGGCGACAAGTGTTTCCGGTCTACCAGTGACGTACTGTCATAAAGGGGCGTAGAAAAGAAAATAATAAATTCTCATTTGCATATTATCTAAATTTACCGATTTCTCTCATTTTAACGAATTGCTATTTTCTTGCGAGAAGTTTGCATTTTTTTTTATTAACCTTAATTATGTGAATAAATTTTACTTTAAAATTGCATGTTGGGTAGGATAAATATAGAAAAAATATTTTTAGGGTAATTTATAGAGGGATTTCATTTAAAAAATCAAAGCAATAATGCATTAAAAAAAATATTGACTTTTCTACGTCTTTATTAAGACAATGTCTTTATTAATCTACATTTTATAAATTATTAAGGTTTGAAAAATAAATGTTCTGTAGATATGCGTTAAAAAAAATTAAATATCCTATACTTATATTTACATAAAACACCGCTGTGATATATCTTTCTTAGATGTTTTTGTTGGAGTACATATAAAACTTCCTAATATCGAAGAGAATTTCTGATCATTTTATTACATAATATTATTAGTAATATTTTTTGCAGGATAATTTTGCATAAGCAGGTAAAATATCTTTCCAAGAAAGGATCCTATAACGTAATAATGATTCTATGAGTTCAAAATAGATTATTTTTAAATGTACATTCAACGCATTACTTGTATGCATAGTCCAGTTGTGATGAGAGTCAATTTGTACTCTAAGGTATTTGATATCATTTGTAATACTTATATGAAACTACTGAACGTTACCTTTTATTGTTTCTATAGGAAAAGGCCATCTTTTTGTAACTGTATAATGGAACAACATAAGTTTTATCAAAGATTTGTAAGTTTTTATAATTAAATCATTCGAAAATTTTTATAAGGTCTGTTTCAATTAATAATTTTAATCAATTCCAGTTCTCTGCATTTTACAGAATAACTGTGTCGTCTGAAAAACCATATTTCTTTCTGTATTTAAACGACAAATTATTTAAAATAAAATCAAACAAGACAGGACCTAAGACAGTATCTTGAGGCATGCACTATGCTACTTATTTCTTTACTTGAGGTGTTCGTTTTTGTAAATAACTTTGTAATAAATTATATAGGGTGCATCACATTCATACAATAAACTTCTATTATACGAAAAAAAAAAACGGTTTTGAGATTCGATTAAAACAATTGCTTTAAAATGGCGTGAACACAAAAATTAAGATATTTTGGCTCACAATTTGTTTGATGCATAACTTTGTTATTTGAGAATCTCTAGAAAATCTGAAAATTGTCTACCTGGAATTAATTTATATAATTTGTAAATCTTGAATCTTTAAGAAATCTGAAAATTGTTTACTTGCAATCAATTTATAAATCTAAATTAACAATAATTTATTCATTTTAACAAACCACATAAATATCTTAAAATTGCATAAAAGAATTGTTTAAATAAAAGTATGTATGCCCTATAAACCATGAAACTACGCCTATGAGCACAGTTGATCGCAGACGCACTAACCATGTTTGTTTACAAATTTAAAACATTAAAAATTTTAAAAATCTTTAATGTGGTTAAAAATTGAGAGAACAAAATATTTGCTTATGAAATGTAGATTATTCCTTCCTACTTTTAGCTGTGCTGCCATATCCACAAGACGAACAACTGACCATATTGTCTTGTTTGTCTTTTAACGCGGAAAATTTAAAATTAACAGTAATACTAAATACATACTAAAACACTAAACACTTTTTAAAAATGTCTACAAAACACACGCTTGATAAAAGTTTATATTAACACATAAAACATCCAAATTATTAACAAATTTTAATCACTAAAAATATAAACCAATTTTAGAAACCATTTATCATAAAATATGATGATGAGTCATCCATAGTACAACATGGCTACCACTTCCGTCAGAGATTGATTAGATTAACGCGGACATGGCATGCTCCTTCCTGACTATATATGTTCTAAGAGGGAGACACTACAAGCTCCTCCTTCATATATTCAAACGGTAATATAACGGTAATATACAGTACGTTTACTTTCCAATTCTGATTCCAGGAGAACGGTATAGAAACACAATGCTATTAAATAGACAGAAGTATAATAATTCTTGTTATCGAAATGGCGTGGTTAAACCAATTACTCTCTTCATATCTCATCTTTATTTTGCTTCATACGTCGGTTAACGTACTGCATATTAGTTTACCAGTTAATTAAGCTACGGTGTTAACATAAAATAATAAAATGTTTAAATAAGTACTAATAGAAACTATATTACGGAAAAATAGCAAATATTACACATTGTCTACACAGGAACAAGGCGCAAAATTTCGTAGTCCTCTTGCACGTAAAAATTCCGTATCTTAAGGCGGGTACAGATCTGAGTAAGTACGCCTATGAGGCAAGCCGAGGACGCATGAGCATGCAGATGTTGACGGGCTTCCGAGACGCGGCAAATTGCCTCGTTGTGGAGGCAGTGCGCAGTACGTGCTCAGTTTGGACGGGAATTTGTACTATACAGCACCGTACAGATTATAGCGAGTTTTTAGGATTTATTTTGCATGGAGTGGAACCAGGAAAACGTTTTGCTTCTTCTGGATTTAAATAATCAGTGTGATATCTTAAGAGAGAAAAACGCCAGTTCTATTACAACACCATAAAAAAAGAATATCCTTGGTAGGAAATCAGCCATCGATTCCTTTCTCTCCTTTTTTCATTAATGTGTCGGATAAAATAATAAAATATGCACTCAACTCCGCGACGTCATCCTCATCCTTCATTTTTGTTTTAATTTTACGAATGTTCTGGGTATACGGTTACATGCTCACGAATTTACTGGATCATTGACGAACAGCTCCTCGTGCGTCCACCATTCGTGTATACAAAATGCGTCGGCTTGCCTCATACGCGTACGTGCTCATATCTGTACCCGCCTTTAGACCAACGTCGTCCTATCTGATCAGCCGAATACGTACATTAAGGGAGTTGTAACTTTTAGTCCTGCTAGCCAACAACATCATTTAACAGAAATTATATTGAACGGTAGGGACGGGGTGTCAGAATATGATTAAAGCAAATAAATTAAAGGAAAGTTATAAATAATATAGATAAATTAGATAACATAATACAATTTCTTTTTATATTTATATAAAAAAGTTTTACCTTGTATTGGGGAGCTGTAGCCCTACATTTCTTACAGACAAGTTTGTAAATTTCTTTAATTTTATATTTCTAGAGCGTATTTAGAGTCTCTGGTATCTAGTGATGCCGCGAGACAAGACGAAACGAGAGAGTGGCTTCTCTCGTCTCATAGGGCGAGAGAAAACTGTTCTCTCGCCTCAACGAGAAGGTGCTTCTTTCGCTCGAGAGAGCATTTCTCTCGTCTCGTCTCGTCTCGTCTCGTCTCGTCTCGTCTCGTCTCGTCTCGTCTCGTCTCGTCTCGTCTCGTCTCGTCTCGTCTCGTCTCGTCTCGTCTCGTCTCGTCTCGTCTCGTCTCGTCTCGTCTCGTCTCGTCTCGTCTCGTCTCGTCTCGTCTCGTCTCGTCTCGTCTCGTCTCGTCTCGTCTCGTCTCGTCTCGTCTCGTCTCGTCTCGTCTCGTCTCGTCTCGTCTCGTCTCGTCTCGTCTCGTCTCGTCTCGTCTCGTCTCGTCTCGTCTCGTCTCGTCTCGTCTCGTCTCGTCTCGTCTCGTCTCGTCTCGTCTCGTCTCGTCTCGTCTCGTCTCGTCTCGTCTCGTCTCGTCTCGTCTCGTCTCGTCTCGTCTCGTCTCGTCTCGTCTCGTCTCGTCTCGTCTCGTCTCGTCTCGTCTCGTCTCGTCTCGTCTCGTCTCGTCTCGTCTCGTCTCGTCTCGTCTCGTCTCGTCTCGTCTCGTCTCGTCTCGTCTCGTCTCGTCTCGTCTCGTCTCGTCTCGTCTCGTCTCGTCTCGTCTCGTCTCGTCTCGTCTCGTCTCGTCTCGTCTCGTCTCGTCTCGTCTCGTCTCGTCTCGTCTCGTCTCGTCTCGTCTCGTCTCGTCTCGTCTCGTCTCGTCTCGTCTCGTCTCGTCTCGTCTCGTCTCGTCTCGTCTCGTCT